GGAGTTACCAGAAAGCTATGGCCCTGCTCACAGCACCGTGAGACAACAGTCTCCCCAAGGAGAGGCAAGATCAACTTGGCACATTTGGGGGAACACAATGTTGTTTCACACTGACATGCGTGTTGAGACTATCCTCAGAACAGGGAACACAGGCACTGTTTTAGAAACTGTACCATTTCTAGGGAGGAGGGGACAAAAGTTACACGAGGATGTTCCTCAGCCAAATAAACACTGCACGAAAACACAGAGACTGTGAGCAGCGAATCCCAATTCAATGCACAGGAAAACCTAAGTGGCTGCGGGTGATGGGGTGAAGAAATCCAGCACGCCCCTGAAGAAAGGATCCTTGAGATAAAAGAGATAAGATGTAAGAGAAAAAGACAAATTAATCCAGAAGTAAAATATCAGACTTTTTCCAAGCGTATTTGGGAGGCAAGGAGAGGGCAGAAAGCTGTGCCAGACATCTCATCTCACCAGGGAACGGGGTTATTGTTTGTTTTGTGATGTCAAAAGAAAATACGGCTTAAGAAATTTGGGTCAAAATCTCAGTAGGGGAATTTTAGAAAGGTGGACGCCCTGGGGGCTCATCTGTATATTCCTACATCCCCACATAAAAACATACCAGGCAGCTAGACAGGAAAACCAAACTCTGTGGCTGAAATGTATAACAAGATCAGATGAACTCCAAGGTACAAATTCTCAAGAGCCACAAGTTCTCTGTGGTATCAGCATCTCTGCAGGAGAAGGAAAAAGGAAGCAAAGGGACATGTGACAGAGCTGAAGGCAGGACAGCCTCAGAAGAACCACAGGTATATGTCAGAAAGCATGGTGTGTACCTTGAATTTAGCATCTGAACCTGGAGGGCTTTCCCCACTGTGGAGGGGAGTGGCTTTAGGGGCCTTTAGTGAGTCCTTAGGGCAAGAGATGGGCAACAGAAAGAAACACTACCCAACAGACCAACAAGTAGCCTGCCATTTCAAAACAAGCTAATAAATAACCAGAGGAACATAAACAAGACAAAGGAACAACATAAGACAGAACACAAAGTTTGGATGAGGGGAAACCCCTCATGGGAAAATGAGAGATAAAAGGAAAATCACTCCAGAAATCAAGACTAAAATGAAGGAAACACAGCAAACAAGAAAAACATATTTTAAGGTCAAAATGAATGAGATAAAAAGGATTCAAGAGAAAGTGATGAATATTGAACACAGACAAAGAAGATCCCAAGTGTTAAGCATGGTCCTTGGGGAGAAGGGAAGCTGTGTGGGACAGTCACACGATGAAATCAACCTGAAAAGGCGTGAGGAAGGAGAAGAGGGGCTGAATCTATATTAAATATTAATATAGATTAATATTATATATTAAATATAAAATAAGAGGTAGGTTTAAAACCAAATGTGTCAGAAATTACACTAAGTAGAAATGGGCAAAAATATGCTACCTTAAATACAAAGATTGCTGGACTAGATTTGCTTTTAATCTAATTTCATACCAATTCAAAAGCCACATTTAACCAAAGTATAGAGAAAGGTTAAAAATTAAAAAATGGGGAAAGATATGCATGCAAACAAAGTTCTGTCAATAGCAGGTCAAACAGAAACAAAAGCCCCAAAGAGTTACTGGAGAAAACGAGTATCACTTCCATAAACTAAGAGTTCTCGCCACTTAAAATTTGTGTGTACAGAATGAAACAGCCTTAAAAAAGGAAGAAAAGCAGAATGGGACAAACTATGGAATGAAGTGGACCAAACCATAATCAGAGTGGAAGACTCTGAGGTTCCTTCTCCGTATTTTATACACAAGCGGCAAGAAACATGGGGCAATCAAGAAATTAAAAATAGAGCTTCCCTATGACCCTGCAATTGCACTACTGGGTATTTACCCCAAAGATACAGATGTAGTGAAAAGAAGGGCCATCTGCACCCCAATGCTTATAGCAGCAATGGCCACGGTCGCCAAACTGTGGAAAGAACCGAGATGCCCTTCAACGGACGAATGGATAAGGAAGATGTGGTCCATATACGCTATGGAGTATTATGCCTCCATCAGAAAGGATGAACACCCAACTTTTGTAGCAACATGGACGGGACTGGGAGAGATTATGCTGAGTGAAATAAGTCAAGCAGAGAGAGTCAATTATCATATGGTTTCACTTATTTGTGGAGCATAACAAATAGCATGGAGGACAAGGGGAGATAGAGAGGAGGAGGGAGTTGAGGGAAATTGGAAGGGGAGGTGAACCATGAGAGACTGTGGACTCTGAAAAACAATCTGAGGGTTTTGAAGGGGTGGGGGAGGGAGGTTGGGGGAACCAGGTGGTGGGTATTAGAGAGGGCACGGTTGCATGGAGCTCTGGGTGTGGTGCAAAAACAATGAATACTGTTACGCTGAAAAGAAATGAAAAGAAAAGAAAAAAGAAACATGGGGCAGATGCAGGGGATCTGAGCCCCTAAGTTAACAAACTGACCCAATAGGATTCATGGAAGTGTTGTGCCACCAACTATACAGTTCCACTCTTCTAAGTGCACATAGAGCAGTCACAAAAATGAACAAAGCCTTGCCATGAAGCCTCAGCATGCACGGTGAATTTTATAAGTCACAGTCACCAGCTAATGGGTCCTCCCTGTTTATTACTTACCTTTTCTCCTTCATCCTCAGCCCAACCCCACCACCCTCCACAGACACCTGTCCCCACATCCTTCTCTATCACCTTCCATAAATGTGTTTCCACATGTGGGCATACAGTCATGACAAGTATGTAGTATTTTCCCAGAATGTATGTTTATTTTTATTCATGGGGGTTTTAAAGCTTGTTGTATTTCTCAGTATTTTTTTTTAAGCAAATCTGAGATTGATTTGTTTTGCTACATAAAAATACAGTAAATTATTTCTGGCCACTAAAGGGTATTCCATTGTATACATACACCATGTTGTGGGAGTTCAGTGCCCTTTTGGGAGCTCTTTGCTGAGACAATACACCGTGATTGATATCCTTCTTCTTTAGCATCTGTATGAGTGCTTCTCTGGGCAGAATCTGCATGTCAAAGGTATGCATGTACTCCACTCACTAAATCCCACCAGGCTGTATGAGCATTCTTCTGGGGTACATATAGGGGGACAATCTGCTTGTCATAAGGAAGAGATAATACCCCATATCAAAAATGCTGACAGAGTTTTCCCTCTCTTCAACAACAATGGTATTTTGTTTTAATTTGGTTTCCTCTGGGGGCACCTGGGTGGCTCCATCAGTTAAGTGTCTGCTTTCAGCTCAGGTCATGAGCCCACAGTCCTAGGATGGAGTTTGCCTTGGTCTCCCTGCTCAGCAGGGCATCTGCTTCTCCCTCTCCTTCTGCCATTCCCCCCACTTGTGCTCTCCGGCTCCCGTTCTCTGGCTCTCTCTCTCTGTGTGTCAAATAAATAAGTAAAACCCAAAATAGTAACAACAACTATAACAACAACAACTTGCTTTCCTCTGAGGAAAATCAGGGTGACCGTCTCTTTGTGTTCTTATTGGCTGCGTGTGAACCCTCACTTCCCAGTCCCTGTCCATTCCCTGGTGGTTTGCAGTTCCTAGTACAGTCTAGACATTAACCCCTTAGTGGTTATAAACAGCAAGTGTCCTCCCCTGAAAGTCCAACCATCTTTTTATGTTGTTCCACAGTGACTGCCACTGAACACAAATGTATGTAATTCTGATGCAGTTAAATCCACCATTTTCCTAACTATTATTTATGCTTTGGGATCATATTTAAGAATTCCTTCCCTACCCTGAGCATAATAACCATAACCTCCAACAGATACTATCTCCTACACTTTGTATTTTCCCCTTCGCTTTTACATACACTTTAAGACCTTAAAGTATTTGGGGGGGGGGGGATTGGCATTACCATCTAATTTTAATTTTCTTTTTTTTTAAGATTTTATTTATTTATTTGACAGAGATCACAGGTAGGCAGAGAAGCAGGCAGAGAGAGAGAGAGGAGGAAGCAGGCTCCCTGCTGAGCAGAGAGCCTGATGCGGGGCTCGATCCCAGGACACTGAGATCATGACCTGAGCCAAAGGCAGAAGCTTAAACCCACTGAGCCACCCAGGCGCCCCTAATTTTAACTTTCTGTATAGAGTGAGCCACCTTCCCCATTCAATTTCCTCATGCAAAAGTAAAGTTCCCAAATACATGGGCCTTTTATGGGTTCTTGTTCTATACCTTCATCTATTTATCTGTTCCTGTGCTAGCAGCAAACTCTCAATAGATAAGAATTTATTCTACATTTATTTCATATTTAATAATATCTGGCAGGTATTTTGTTTATTATTCACAAGTGCCTCAGTTATTCATGAACTTTGCACATAAATTTTAGATCTGTGGGATTCCAACTAAAATCGCACAGAATACATGGACTAACACGGGGGAAATTAATGTTTTATAATGTCTGTCCATCCATGAACATGGTATACTTCTCCATTTATCCAGTTCTTTTTGGCTCAGAAGAAAGATAGAGAAAGAAAGAAAGAAAGAAAGAAAGAAAGAAAGAAAGAAAGAAAGAAAGAAAGAAAGAGGAAAGAGAGAGAGAGAGAGGGAGGGAGGAAGGGAGGGAGGGAGGGAGGGAGGGAGAGACGGAAATGGGGTGGGAAGAAAGGAAGAAAGAAAAAGATTTTTAGGGGCACCTGGGTGGCTCAGTGGGTTAAAGCCTCTGCCTTCGGCTCAGGTCATGATCTCAGGGTCCTGGGATCAAGCCCTGCATCGGGCTCTCTGCTCAGCGGAGAGCCTGCTTCCCTTCCTCTCTCTCTGCCTGGCTCTCTGCCTACTTGTGATCTCTGTCAAATAAATAAATAAAATCTTTAAAAAAAAAAAAAGGTTTCTACATTTTCCCCACAGAAGTCTCAGGCATTCTTTATCAATTAGTTCTTAGATATGTAACATTTTGTTCACATTTTAAATAACTTATTTCCCACTAGATTTTCTCATTATTTGTGGTGAATAAGAATACGAGATTAATTCACAATAACACACTGTTTCCTCTGGCATGCACTGAAGTGGACAATGGCGAGTGAGGGTGGGGAACAGGGACTCCCACCCATGCTCACGGTGAAGAGCATCCCAGCCCAAGGCCCTCCACTCCAAAGTGCAGGAGGGCTTTTAGGCAAGAAAGTTGCATATGCTGTCAAATTGCAAAAGAAAGGAAACAAAATGTCCAACAATGGGTAAAAGGATGAATCAACCGTTGTAGCTTCAGGAAGAAAATGGGTTAACTAGAGCCATACAGACCACCTAGAGAAATCTCTTTAATACAACCACTGCATTTTACAAAAGCAGTTTTCAGGAGAAAAGTAGTGCATTACCACTTACTATACTAAGTTTAAAGCATGCAAAATAATGTTTAGAGAACACACATAATATGTTTATTAAGAATGTAAAGACCACATGGGACTAATACATTCAAATTCAGGAATTTGTCTAGAGTGGGAGGGAAACAATATGGGAAAATGCATGGAGAGGAATTCATCTATTTTCCTAATATTTTCATAACTCGGGCATTTTCACATGTTTTTTTATGTATTATTGTGTATACCCTTTGTACAGCTAAAATAAACCATTGTTAATCAAGTGAGACTCTGTAATTAAAGGGAATGAGCTGAACCCTTGCAAGGGATGGGGAACTCCCTCAAGTCTAGACATGGATTCTGTGAGGGGTTAGGTCCCGACAAGTAGCCAATAGCAGCTAATGGCACATAGACTTTACACCAGAGGCTGATGTCTAGAGGAAAACAGGAAGGGAGATCCTAAACATAGCACAAACAAGAACCAGGAAGTGACCATGTGGCCAGCATCACACCTCACACCGGGGCAGGTATATAAAGGGCTCCTGGCCCAGGAGGCCCCACACCTGAGCACCTGTCCTCTGCATCTGCTCCTCTGACCTGCTCCACTCTCAACCCACCAGAACCATGAGCTGCTGTGGCTGTTCCGGGGGCTGTGGCTCCAGCTGTGGGGGCTGTGGCTCCAGCTGTGGGGGCTGCGGCTCTGGCTGCGGGGGCTGCGGCTCCGGCTGTGGGGGCTGTGGCTCTGGCTGCTGTGTCCCCGTCTGCTGCTGCAAGCCCGTGTGCTGCTGTGTGCCAGCCTGTTCCTGCTCCAGCTGTGGCTCATGTGGGGGCTCCAAGGGGGGTTGTGGCTCCTGTGGCTCCTGTGGCTGCTCCCAGTCCAGCTGTTGCAAACCCTGCTGCTCCCAGTCCAGCTGCTGTGTCCCCTGCTGCTCCCAGTCCAGCTGCTGTAAGCCCTGCTGTTCCCAGTCCAGCTGCTGCAAACCCTGCTGCTCCCAGTCCAGCTGCTGCAAACCCTGCTGCTCCCAGTCCAGCTGTTGCAAACCTTGTTGCTCTCAGTCCAGCTGCTGTGTCCCTGTTTGCTGCCAGTGCAAGATCTGATTTTCCATTTTCACAGGGACTCTTACCAAAGCCAGAGCCATCCCGGATCAGAGTCATGGATTCCAGTACAGCCATATCTGCCTTTTCCCTGAACCCCTGATCCAGACTCTCCTCCAGCAAAGCACCCTGTCATCCACCCTCCTCCCTTGCCCACTGTGAGCATTTCTCTTTGATTTCCTCCAAGGAAATACAGTGGACACTTGTATGCAAGAATTACTTCCAAGACTCCCCCTTTCCCAGCACCTAGAGCCCTTCCCAGGCACCTGCAGAAATGGCCCACGCCAAGCCCTGCCTGCCCAGCACCTTCTGCAGCAACAACGTCCAAGCAGGGGCAGCACGAGGGTTCCTCAGCTCTGCTCGGTGTGCAGGCACCAATTTCTCAGCTATCTGTCTTTGAAGCATCTAATAAAGCCATTGTCCCCGAACCCCATCACTGTGTCAATGTGTGTATGTTTCCATCTCTCTGGTGGGAGGGGGACGTGAACTGGAATAACATGTGTGCCCATGCTCGGTTCCTGGACCTGCTCACAGGCCCTCTGTCCTAGGCTCCCAGAGTGCCCTTGGCAAATGCTGATCTGCTCATCTGCAAACACTCGGGGTGTTTCCTACAGCTGACTAGCTGAGGAGCCTTGAGTCAATCATTCTTCCCAGAACCTATGTCCACACCTGTAAAATAGGTTGCAATCATAGCGCCTTCTTCATAGTTAAGGTGTGGTAAAGCAGCCATCTGAGATGGACTCATCCTGATGGACAGCTGGCCTCCTCCAGGCTCCTTGCTGAGGAGGTAGGCATGGCCCTGTTGTCTTTCCTAAAGCAATCTTACCAAAATGAAATCGCCTCCAACTGTCTCCTGTGTGGATCTGGCACTGTGCTACACACCAAATGCTCGCAGCAGCCCCGGCCTACAGATGTAGAATGAAGCACAAAGAGGCTACATGCAATAAGGAGCCCAACGCCATCTTTGATGTTGGACCACTGACAGTTTTCAGGGGCTCCCCACAGCCAGGCAGCCAATGAGAAAGCCCACTGCCACTGGCAGGGATGTTCAAACCATTCGAACCCTAGCCTGTACAGGAACCCTAAGCCTGCACCCACCCCTAAGCATGAGAAAAGCAAAAGCACATTCCTCTCTTCACTCGAGTCATTCCAAATCAGCTTGGGTGTCTGCCCTGCTCACCCAGAGTCTACATAAGTAATAAACCTCTTCCTACCCTCTTGGTGTATGCGTAGCGTCATCGGTCTCATATCTGCACCACTTTGGGGCAGAGAATTGATCCTTCCCCCATGGGGCAACCACAGGATAGTAACACCTTGTCCACACTCTGAATGTAGAGAGCTACAGAGCCAGGACTGAAAACCATGCAGTCCGTTTCCAAGCCCACCCTCCTAACCCCTCAACTATGAAGGTTTATGATGATGCAAAAAAGGTTTCCACTTCCAAAGGGAATGTAGTGTTTATGGAAGGTTGACAATCCCATTGTAGCAACTAGGAAAGGCCAAACTAGTTTCAAAACCCATAGAGTAAAAGATGCTAGCAAATTGTATGTTGTGTGTATTTTATCACAATTTGTAAAAAGTGGAACACATATATAATATTAGGGCACTGTAGAATCAGGGAGGACCAGGAAAAAATAAGTCTCACAAGGAAAGCTCTCTGAGATGAACTGAGGATCAACCACCACATGTTCTGCCGTTGGGGAATTAGCCACTTCCAGGTGTGGGCTGATCATCAGATGTGATCCAGAAGGAGGGGCTCTACAGGGAGAAAGAAAACCCACAGAACTTGCCATCGCCACCAGGGCTGGTGTAGAAAATTGGGACATTTGCTAAATCCAGGGCTATTAGAGCCACAAAACTTGACCTGAGGCTTCTACAGGTGAAGTGAAATGTCCTGTAACCTCATTGTACTTAGCACACAATGTCCTTCTAGAGAAAAACGTTTCTGCCTCAGACACAAGACACATGTCCCGTAAGACATTTTCCAAATATTGAAACTGACTGAGCATAAAATTAAAGAGCTAAGTTGAAAATATTTGAGGAAAAGAACAGAGGTCCCCACAGCCTTGCAGCCCTGAGGAAATAGAGAGGACCCAGGCTCTTAACCAGACACCAGAAGAGCCACACCTAGAAGGCTCACAAGCACAGTGAGCCCAAACCCAGCCCAGTCTCTACTGGATTGGAGTGGTCAGCTTCTTGCCTTACCAGGATAAGAGAGGAAAGACCAAGTGCCCCATGAGATGGTATCAACTAGATCCTCCCTAACCCTCTTATACAAATATCCGGCGCACACTCAAAAAGTCCTGGAGAGAGGAAGTGGCAGGAAAATGTGATCGATAATGGAGAGGAAAACGAACAACAGAAGGAGGCCCACAGATAAACCATATACTGGAGAAAGCAAACATAAATTTAAAATAGCTTTGATAAATATGTCAAATGAAATAAAGGAAAAGGTAAGCAAAATGGATGAAAAGATTATCTTTTTCAGCAAAGAATTAGAATGTATTTTAAAATGTTAAATGGAAGAACATCTTTATGCTGAAAAATGCAGTATCTGAACTACCTAAAACTAATGACTCATTGGATGGGTTGGACAACAGAAAACACGTTTAGGGAACACAAATATACACCAAGGGGAAATATCCTTTGCTTTGAAGCAAAGAAAGAATAAACACAGAGAATAAAAAGAGTACAAAACAGGAGACATAGGAAACCACTTAAAACCTTCTTTGGACTCCCAGAAAGAGAGCAAGAAATAATAGAGTGAAGGCCGTACGAAGAGAACATGACGTAATATTTTCCCAGAATTGTTGAAAACCATGGATCTACAGATCTGAGCAGTTTGGCAAACTCACGGCAGAATGAATAAATAGAAAACCACACGGAGGCATACCAGGGGAAATCTTCCAAGCACCAAAGATCAAGAGAAAACTATTAGAGCAACAGGAGAAAAAGAACCCGCTATCTTTGAGGGAACAACCCTAAGTGTGACAGCTGGTTTTTAAATAGGAGCGATAGAAGCCAGAAGACATGGAATGGCAGAAAGAAGAAAACACCCGCCAACCTAGAATTTTACATCTAACGAAAATAATCTTCAAAACGCAACTGAAATAGAGTTGTTTTCACATGCGAGACATTATCACCAAAAGATCTGTACCACAGGAAATAAGAGAGAAATTTCTTCAGGCTGGAGGAAAAGAACCCCGTAGTGAAGCATGGGACTTCAGGAATAAGCAGAGAGCACTGGAAACTGCAAATATGTGGGTAAGTACAAAAGAAAATTAACTGCTTAAGACACTATATTAATGTCCTGTAAGATATTTAACATTTTTGGAAGTAAAATATAGGGGATAAATGGAATTAAACAGATACACGGTTCTTGCCTTGTTCAGAAATCATAAGACTACGAATTGGTAGTTTATTATAATAAGTCAAGGACATGGGGGGGGGCACCTGGGTGGTTCAGTGGGTTAAGCCTCTGCCTTCGGCTCAGGGCATGATCCCAGGGTCCTTGGATAGAGCCCCACATCAGGCTCTCTGCTCAGCGGGGAGCCTGCTCCCCCCACCACCCACCTGCCTCTCTGCCTACTTGTGATCTCCGTCTGTCAAATAAATAAATAAAATCTTTAAAAAAACATAAGTCAAGGGCACGAAATGTCATCTCTAGGATAACCACTAAAGACTAGTACAGGAATATAGAACTCAACAGACGGCTAATAGAGAAATTGAATGAAAAATAGTTGAGTCCAAAAGAAAGCAAGAAAGAAGCAAGAAAGGAACGAAGAAGAGGTGGAAGAAATGGAAACTTAACCAGCTGCTAATAAACATGAGCAGAGTCCATGGTCAGAGGCTGAGGGACACCCAAATAGGGCCATGAGTGTCGCTGGCTCTCCTACACCACAGGGTCCAGGAGAGCTCCCAGTCTCCAAGGAGAGAGCATAGCTGCACCCTTTCCTGACAGCCACAACCATCTCTGAGGGCAATGACCCCCACGAAGTCCTGAGACTCAGACCTATAGAGAGCAGGAGAGGAGAGGAGCCGGCCAGCCCTCCGGGTCACAGGCCAGGGAGCAGAGATGGTCTGGATGCCCAGGGGCTGGCAAAGGTCATGCTCTCCCAGGTGTTGGCCACAAGCAGGCATCACCCACAATCCACTCTGCAGACCTGCGATTTGCATTTCTGTTTAATGCTCACAGTAGGGCCAACCCAGAGAGATAGCCTCAAGACTGATAAAATCCCACAGACGCCACGGGGGAGCCGTCCCAAGCCTGAGGGCTGAGGCTGCTCGCCACGGGCCATCTCAGCCACAGACGGGCATCCCGAGGGCAAGCTGTTCACCTGACAACGACCAATGAACCTTTAAGGAGCATTCCACCTTGTCAGCCCCAGAGGTCCTGAGCCCTGGGAGGCTGTGAAGATTTAGGGCCTAAAATGTCCTGGATAAAGAGAGGTGTCCCCTGTCCCAAACCAGGCAGTCTCCTTAGTGTTACGCAAACTGGACAGGAGCAAGAATGCTCCACCAAGGGACCTAGCCATGGCCGTATCACACGGTAGAGGCAGTGATTTGAAGAGCAGGTCCCCAGAGAGCAAATACAGGAGGCACCCGGAAATGTGGGCCACGTGCGGAGCCACGGGAGGCTCCAAGGGGGCATCAGGCACCTTTCAAACCAAAAGGGCTGCCTCAAAGCAAGATCCTCACGGAGGTCAGGCGCCCTCTGCCCGAGGAACTGAGAGCCAGTGTTTGCCTGAGAACAGATCCCTCTGTGGGCACCCCTACTGCCAGACTCATAGCCCTGTGTCCTCATTCGATGGTCTGCTTGGGAAGGGGATGGGCATGGGGCTGAGGTCTCTCTGCCGCAGGGAGATGAAGGTCTCGTGGCCCGGCAAGTGTACAGTGTCTGTGTCAAATATGATGGCCAGGTGACTCATCCAGTGGTGGTGGAGGGAGACCCCCGGAGGACAGCTTTGTGGCCAGGGGCGGAGAACAGCTCATTCAGATTGGAAAACTATAGAATATTCTCCTTAAAGTTGGTTAACAGAATGGTTACAGGACCCAGCTTGTTAACACCCACCGCCCACGTCCGCTGGCCCCTCACCAGCCCTGGTCCCTGGCCTCGCCTCCAGACAGGGCCAGCCCAAGGTCTGACCTTCAGCAACAGGAGGCCCAGGAGACTCTACACGCTGCTCCAACTTTATTGGACCCACAAAGCTCCGGGCCCTCCAGTGGCCTCCTACAAGAGCTTTTTTTTTTTTTTAAAGAATTTATTTATTTGACAGAGAGATCACAAGTAGTCAGAGAGGCAGGCAGAGAGAGAGGAGGAGGAAGCAGGCTCTCCGCAGAGCAGAGCCCGATGCGGGACTCGATCCCAGGACTCTGAGATCATGACCTGAGTCAAAGGCAGAGGCTTAACCCACTGAGCCACCCAGGCGTCCCCTACAAGAGCTTTTTAACACACAGTGCAAATTCAGGGAAGTCAGTTCCCCGTGAAGTGAGCTCTGATCTACGAGAACAGAAAACAAGAGGATAAAGTGTTCTCCCTTCCTCCTCCATGAAGACTGTCCTGAGATGCGGTGTCTCCATGAGGCCTCCCTGGGGATGGCCTGCATAGACAAGCAAGCCCCACCGCACTCTGGCCTCCTTTTGTCAACCCTGCAACAGCACACCTGCGCTAAGCTTTGCCTCTGGCTGCTTTGCGGGCAGCTCAGGCTGAGACTCTTACCGTCACCAGGCACATCTGACATTATGATGGAGGGACACTAGCCGATGCAACATGACAAGGAAAAGAAATGGGTGACGTCGGCCTCGGAAAGAAACAAGTGTGGGGACCCACAGATGTGTGACGGTCTACTTGGAAAGTCCACGTGAGTTGACAGGTGGTCTGGTGGGACTAAATGAGGGAATTCAGGAAGGCTGAATCAGAGCATGCCATCAAGCAAGTGACAACGCATCAGAAACTAGGAGTTTTACGGAGAGCCCTTCCTGACAGCAACAGAAATCACAAGGCAAGTAGGAGCATACCTCACAGGCATGGGAAAGACCCCAGAGGAAATTATAAAGCAAGGTAGAAGGACATTTAAAAGCCAAAGCTGTGTGTGGATGAGAGGAGCCAATAGTGTTCTCCAAATTAAGCTGTCAATTCAAAGCAGCTGCGGTCACAACCCCAAATGTTGACGAGGTCATAAAAAAACGGAGCTTTCACAACCGGCTGGTGGGCGCTTACTGTATTCCAGCTTTGAGAGCAATTCAGCAACGTCTGGAAAGCTGAAGGCAGGCGTAGCCCGTAACCTGATGACCGCACTTCTGGGCACACACCTCAGAGAGAACCGGCCCAAAAGCCCTGGGACAGAATCTCTCAAAGATTGATCTACAAACGGCAGTTTCTTGTGAGTCAAAGCTGCACCTACCGTGTGACCCAGCGGCCACACGCCTGCACGCTTACTCTGGAGACATGAAAACTTCTATTAGCACAAAAACCTTCACAGGGATGTTTCGAACAGCTTTATTCCTAATCTGCAAACACTGAAAACAACCCCAGTGCCCGTCAGCAAGTCCTGGGTACGCTCTGTTTCTAAATTCGCCACCATTTACCTCCCAGCAGTAAAAAGGACCGAGCTACGGACACACCCAACAACCCGGATGAGACTGAAGCCTCGGGGTGCCCGAAGTTTAGATGCGGCGCGGCTCCGTCGCTCTGATGCTTCTCAGAAGGACGGAACAATATCGATGGGGACAGGCCAGGGGCTGCCAAGGACAGGAGGGGGAGGAGGGTGTCCCCATAAAGGAACAGCATGAGGGATAGTCTTCGGGTGACAGAGCCGTCCTGTACCCTGATTATGAGGACGGGCTTGAATCTACGTAGGTGTCAAAACCCAAAAGAGTCAAGTTGGCTGAGATGGTGAGACACTGGAACCCTTGAGCCTTGTTGGTGGAAATTTAAAACAGAGCAGCTGCTGGGGGAGACGATCGGATGGTTTCTGAGATGTTATACATGTACGTCACAGGATCTGGTCATTCTACATTTGGGTATATCCCCCAAAGAGTGGAAAGCAGAGCCTCATACAGATACTGGTACACTGGGGCGCCTGGGGGCCTCAATTGTTAAGCCTCTGCCTTCGGCTCAGGTCACGATCTCAGGGTTCTAGGATCGAGCCCCGCATCTGGCTCCCTGCTCAGTGGAGAGTCTGCTTCTCCCTCTCCCTCTGCCCCTCTGCCCCCCGCCCCTGCTCCTGCTCTCCCTCTCTCTCACTTGCTCTCGCTCTATCTCAAGTAAATAAACAAAATCTCTAAAAAAAATACTGGTACACAAATTTTCACGGCGGCATTATTCACAGTAGACAAAGGTGGACACAACCCAAGAAAGAGTCCGTGGACAGAGGAATGGATACACAAAATCTGGAATACTATTCCGCCTTAAAGAGGAAGGAGATTTCTTTTTTTTTTTTTTTTTTGACACCTGCTACGGCACAGATGAACCTGGAGGACATGACGCTCAGTGAAAGAAACCAGACACAAAGGACAAATCCTGCAGGATTCCACGCATGAATCCTGGAGGAGTCAAATTCATAGACTTAGAAAGTAGAATGGTAGGGGCCAGGGGCTGGGGCAGGGACAACGGGGTTTAGCACTTAATGGGGACGGAGTTTCAGTTTGGCAAGATGAAGAAGTCTGGACAGGGCTGCTGGCGATGGTTCCACAGTGTGTAAGTGCAGCTCGCCCCTGAGCCGTACACTGAAAAATGGCTAAAATGAGACTTTTCTATTATGCATATCTTATCACAATAAAAAAGTCAATGAGTCAAGGTTACTACACGATAATTTGAAAAATTAAATAAAATGAGGCAAAAAAGGAAAAACCAGAAGCTGAATGTGCATACAAATCCTCTGAACTTGTTAAAACACAGAGTCTGGCTTAGCAGGCTTGGGTGGGGGCTGGGAGTCTGGGTTCCTAACACAGTCGCAGGTGGTGCTGACACAGCGGCTGGGGACGACCGTGACTTACACAGTGCTAGGGGACACTGACCAGAATGTTCGTTGCAACACTGCCGTGTGCAGAAAAACTTGCAAGCAAGCTACGCGTCCGTCGGTAGAGGAATGGCTAAGTGAGGGTCTGCTCATTCAGCGCCCACCCAGCTGGCAGCTCACACGGATGGGGTAGGCTCGCCCGCATCAACCAGGATGAACAGGCTGGGACGTGGGTGGGAAAAGTGAATCGAAGGGCTGATGTGGTGCCGTGATACTTATCCCTGAATACTGACAGGCACGCAAGATCCGATCGTGTGCTGTGTGCAAGACCATTCACCGACAAAGACAGAGGCCAGAACACGGCCGGCACTCTGAACGTGGGCTCTGCACAGGGGCCAGGAGAGACCTGGGGAGCCCCCAGGATGTGGACTGTTGTTTTTCTAACCTGAATCAAAACCGGGAAACTGCTGACATGGTGGGGTCTAGGAGCTAGATGTTTGTTACAGCATTCTCCGTGTTTCTCGGGGTGTTTTGGTTTTTTTCTGGATCATGATTAAAACCCAGGAAAGAAAATCATCTTTAATGTGTGATGAGAAACTTAGAAGGATGCTGCTCATTGTGCTGGTCGTTTAATAGCCAAAATATGGAGATAATCTGCCATATAACTCCAGAAAATTCCTTCAAATATCAGTGGACGTGCCTACAATGTGACACCACATGGACACGTGTCACCGGGTGGTGGGAAAGCAGGTCCCTGGATCAACCCGAAAAGCACATCCTGCGGCTGAAGAAGAGGGCAGCCCTGTCCGCAGAGTTCGAAGTTCGGGAAAGGCAGCACTGACCGCTAGGTCAGAAGGTGAGGGGACAGCTGGCTGGGAGGGGGTTAGGGAACTTCCCCGGGTGACGGGAATGTTGTAGCCCTCACGAGGGTGGTGTTAACACGGGTGCACACAGTTGTCCAAGCCCACCTCCTTGGACAACAGCGATGGGCATTTTATTGTTAACAATGACGACTTAAAAAAAAAAAAAAAGTCGTGGGAAAAGCAAGGCCATGGATACGCGCTTAGTGGGAGTCTTCGGTGGAAACGCTGAGTTGCAAATGAGCAGGAAAAAGCAGACCCCACTGGTCTTTTTGCTCGGAGAGAATGTGGCAAGGAAAGCCCGCCCTGGGCACCCTCCCTGAGGCCAGTCGGGCGCGGCCGGGCGGCAGAGGGCGCGCACGGACCGACCATCCGGCTGCGCCCGCACCTGCCGGACTCCCGCACCCGCGGCGGGGGCCGACGCGACCCGCCCAGCTCCGGGTCCTGCTCCACAGCTGGGAGCGCGGACCCCCGGAGCAGCGATCACCCAGCAGCCAGCCGTACTTGGGTCTGGCCCCGCATGACACGGGGGCCACTGGCTGGGGAGCTGGAGACCCCGTGAGCGGTTCCCTTCCACGCACCACCCGGGGCTCCGACCGCAGCCCTCCCCAAGCCGCCCCCGCCCCTTAACGTTGCGCCCCTGGGAGCAGGAGTCTCAGAGCCCTGGAGGCGAGCTAGGGGATGGAATTTGGCCCCGGGGCTGGGAAGAACCTAGGACAGAGCTAGTGGCCTTGGAAAATCACAGTACCTCCCTAACCCTGGCCCCACGGTTGCAAAACTCCAGGTTTTCAGCGCTTGTTTGCAGGAGAAGTGACAGGATCATAAAATAATTATGGCCCAAACATGGTTCCCTGGCCAGGCAGAGCCCCAGAAAGCTGCAGGCCACCCCCACCCATTCACCTACTGTGGCTTCCAGAAGGAAGAGAGGACACCATCGCCTGCCCCTCCATTTACTGCCATCTGCTCAGGCTCAGAGAGGAGCTGCCCAGGGCCCCGCTGGCCTTTGGGGCAACGGGCACTCCCAGGCTACCTGCGGGCCCTGGCCATCTCTGAGCTGGGCAGAAGAGGAACCCACTTGGACACCGTCCACCTTCCTCCTTTCCTGGGCTCATCCTGGGCCTGGACAGGGAGCAAGGCCAGCTCCTTCATCTAAAGACCGACAATCTCCCAACTTCTGTCAGTCCCAGGCCCTCTAGCTCTGTCTCTGCTCCCCAAAGGCCATGTGTGTTCCCTGCAGCCACCTGGCCCCATCTGAGGCGCAGCCTGAATCCTCCTGTCCCTCCTGAGGGCGCACCACTTTTCAGACTGGACTGGGCCAAACGCAGCGAGGCCCCACTGCATCCCCCCACCCAGCACTGACCTGGACACGCATCTCTCCAGCTCAGGATCTGCCCCGGCCAGAACCTCTCCTCGGCAGGGCCCTCTTCCTCCAGGCTCCAGCTAGGAACAGAGAAAGAGGAAGGACCTAAACCCAGCCCCAGCCCCAGCCCCCATATAGCCCCTGGGTTCCCAGCGCTTCCTTCCAGGACAGGCCTGTTTGTCCGCCGTGTTGGCTCTGTGCCAGAAACACCCCCCCCACACACGCACCCCATATACAAAGATCCTGACATTCTTCCAGCCAGCAAGGAAGGAGGCCCCAGGCACTTCCTAAACACCTCCTCTGCGAAGCTTGGAGGCCACAGGTGACAGTGCCTGCTCTCCAGAACTGAGGACCAGAAAGGGGCCCCCAGAGCCCCGGCCAGTGCCCGCCTACAGCCCAGTGCCCTCCTGCAGGCCCACACAGAGCTCTGGGGTCCTGAGTGCTCCTTTTCTCCGACTCCTCATTCAATCAGGGATAGCTAAGAGTTGTCTCCCAGCTCCCTCCTTCCAAGGGAAGGGGCTGCACTCCCTGGGGGCCGAAGCCCTTCTTGGAGCCCCGAGGAGGCCCTGGGAGAGCTGCCAAGTCCAGGGGACTCCAGGCTGGAGGAAAGATCGCCCTCACTCACCATCAGGGAGCCTTAGAGGAGGGGGTTTAGAAACATTAGAGCTGTCTAGTCACACACCCCCCAATAATTACCTTCAAAGGTTCCCATCAGCTCATGGGCCGGGGTCTTTGTCCTCTCTCTCAGAGCTAACCCCCTAGTGCTGGGCACAGGGCTGGCCCCAGAAGGCAATCGGAGTAAGTACCTGGTGAATCAGTAGTGCAGGAGGGCATCTCCTTTCCTGGCTCTGCTGGCTTCTGATCCCTGGCCTCCTCCAAGTCTTTCCTGCCTGGGGGTGGGGGTGGGGGTCCCTCCTGCACCTTGGGTGCCTCCACAGCCTCCTCTCACTGCCTGCATGTCACCTCCTGGGGTGGCCTCCAGACCGCCCACCCCCTTGTGTCCGGCCCCTGTTTGTTTCCGGCCCAGCCCTGCTCAAGGTGTAATTACCTATGTTGTGCCCGCTCTGGACTCCCAGCGCCCGGTCCCCAGCGCACCGAGGTCGCCTAGGGGCAGCCCCTCACTGGGGGTGGGGAGAACACACACGGTCAGAGTGGACCCCGATGAGCGCTGGTTAGGGGCAGCTTTTCCCTGCAAGCGCCAGGGGCTGGAGGGGATCCGGTGGGGCTCGGGGACAGCGCTGCACTGGGGACTCCCTCACCGGAGGACAGATGTGTGACCCGACGCAAACCCCCTCGCCTCTGGGCTTCCAGTTTCCTGCCTAGGGACGCGGAAACCCAGCTTCCCACCCCCGGTGTCGTGGAAAGGGTCGGCGTGGGTGCTGCAAGGGAAGTGCCGGCCAGGCCTAGCGCCCCGCGGGCCCCCGAGGCTGGCCAGCGCTCCCCGGCCTGCAGGCCCCGCGCGAACAAAGGCTGGGGGCGCGGGAGGCGGCGCCAGCTCGGACCCGGCCGCCGCGGAGGGAAAGCCCTCGCGCCGGGACCCGCGCAGCTGGCCCCTCCTCGGCCGTGAGCGCCGCGGGGCCGGGCGCGGGGCCGGGAAGGCTTCCCGGAGGCGGGGGCCCCGGCGGCACGGGAGCGACGCCGTGCGGTCCCTTTAAGAGCCGGTGCAGGGCGAGGGGCGGAGGGCAGAGGGCGGAGGGCGGCGGCCCGCCCGGCCCGCCGCCCCCCGCGCGGCCGCCGCCTCTGATCTGCACCCGCGGCTCGGCTCCGGCTGACGTCACCTGCCCTCCAGCCGCGCGCGCTGATTGGCTGCAGGTGACGTCAGGGCCTTTTTCGCTCGGCATGACCTCATCCCCGCCGGCGGCCCCGCCCTCCGCCCCGGGCCTGTCACTCGCGGCCGAGCGCGGCAGCCGAGCCGGCTCCGCGCCCCCCGCCCGGACGCCGGAGCCCGAGCCGCGCCGGAGCCGCACCGGCCGCGCCCGCCGAGCCCGGGGTGGGATGCGCGCCGCGAGCGCGCGTGCCCGCCCGCAGTGCGC